ATATTTGTAACAAGGAGGGGCCTGCTTGTTTGTTGGGGTTTTCTGTCCTGCCCAGTTCCCCACAGTCTGCAAGCCCCAAATAAAATCACACAAAGATCTCTATAAGTTATAAAGCTGATTGGCCCATTAGGTCAGGCTACTTATTAGCTAACTCTCACATCTTGATTAACCCATTTTTCTAATCTATTTTAGCAATGTGGCTCAGTACCTTTTTCAGTGGGCAGATCACATCTTGCTGCTTTGGTGATCTGGGCAGGAGTGGGAGGAATCAACTTCCTCCTTCCCAGAATTCTCATGCTCTCCTTGCATCATTTCCACTTCCTGTCTGGTTTTTCCACCTACACCTCCTGCCTGGACAATCAGCACTTTATTTAAAACATGACTGACAGAATACAGACAATTCTCCCGCACCAAATACTAGATCAATAATGACCATATAATTAAATTATATAATATGAATAAAATAACTATATCTTGAAATATTTTCACATCTTTAGAACTTAAATTGCAGGTCAACAAATAGTTTCCTTCTTGATTCTTACTTAAATTCTACCCTGAGACAAGTACACAACACTTTAACATCTACTTTGGATACAGTTTAGAAAGGAAATTTTGGAAATAATTGGAATTAGTTCAATTATAATTGTAATTTTTGACTGGAATTTTAATATTTTATTTATTTTTGTTTTAGATTTTATTTTTAATTGTGTGTTTGTGTTTGCACATTCACGGATGTGCATGTATGCACATGTATACACGTGTGAGTACAGTGTCCATAGAGGCCAGAAGAAGGCATCAGATCCTCTGGAGTTGGAGTTACAAGTGACTGAAATCCATCCTGCCTGAGTGCCAGGAACCAAACTCAGATTCTCTAGAGTAGTATGCACTCTGAACTGCTGAAACATCTCTCTAGTCCCTCCTGTTTTAAAGTTTAAATTTCTTTATCTTGGCAAAGTGTCATGACTCACACCTTTGATCCTAGCACTTGGGAGGCAGAGGAAGAAGAATCTTTGTGAGTTTAAGGACAGCCTTGTCTATATAGAAAATTCCAGAACAGCCAGGACTACCTAGAAAGATCTTGTCAGGAAAAAAAAGGCAAATTTCTTCATCTCTAAAATAGTGAAAAGAGTTATCTTTTAATTAAGACATAGTATACACAGTGGCAATGATGAAATGAAAATGTAGTAAAAAACATAATATCACCAACACAATTTTATAATATGTAAAACCAGCTAAGCCCCAACATTCCTTTTCTCATGTTCTTTTAGGTGAAGCAAGGTAAGGGGTGAGCTCTGAAAGTTGTTTAGTCTGGAGTCACAAATGTGGGTAATACCTTTGGGAATAATTACTTCCTCTATGAAATACTTACTGCTTGTATTTTTAAATTCTCTCAAAGAGAATCATGGAAGATCAATATTAGCAAGCATTTCTATTATTATTGCTCGTGGATTCAACAGACCTTCTACTATCACAATGAAAACAACTAGATGCTCACACCAATCATCTGGAAGCTGTTCCCAACTACAACCCAACTGGAATTCTGTTCATTCTGATATATGCAACTGAGACATATATGCACACCACTCCACTGCTTTAGTTCATCATTTCAACCCAACCTGCCACTGACTCTTATTAGAGACCCAGTACTGAAACTCTGTAACTGTCCCACTTGAGTCTGTGCTCTATACATTAATCAAAATGAACACAAGATGCAAATAGATTAAGTAACTCTCATGTTCAAAGTCTCCAATAGCTTTCCACTGCCCTTAAAATCAATGTCATTGACATTTATCCAGCCTGTTCTCTGATCCCACTCCATCCCTCCCACTAGCCCCAACCACACCTACCACTCTTCTATCAGGTTCTTGTATCTCAGGCCACCTGCTCCTGTCTTGGCCACAATCTTCATAGAGGATTTACTTGCCCTCGTAGTGCATGGAAGGTCTTCTGCTAACTTACTACTTTGTCTCATTGTCCCAGTTTTGTTTTTTATACATTCAGAGCACTTATCACAAGTGACAGTCAGCTTTTGTTTGGCTACTTGTTAAAGTCTAGGTCTCCTCCGCACTACAGCCTCCTAACAAACAAGTTACCGGTTTTTATTTATCTCTACTTCAGTGTTTACAACTGTGCCTCATTCCTGGTAAGTAGTGCTCAGTAAATAACACAAGTGAGCATAAATGTCATTATTATTAAATGTTCACTGTGGCAAACAACATGGATTTGACACAAAATCAACTAAGAAATAGCAAGGTGAAGAAACTGACTATGAGAAATATATTATCATAGCTTATCACTGGAATAAGCCAGGCAGAGCTGAAAATGGCAAGCCTGAAGTACCAGTAAGTCTTGACAATCTCTGAGCACAATGGTTTTTAAAATCATCTGCAAATAGGCATTGTTTCACCAGTTAAAATGCACTGAGAAATGTTTGACCATCTTCCATTGTGTGTTAAGCTGTCCACAAAAGCATGATCATCACTGTAACCCCATAAACTTTATCTCCTGTGCTTCACTTGAATATTTTTATGCAAAGTGAGAACCACACAGTACTCTGCTACATTCTGCTGCTCCTTCACCCAACTGCATGACTTAAGGACTTTCCTGATGTGGGGTCCCACCTGAGACCCTTCTACCTTTTTGTATCTCCTCCAAACAGTGCAGGCAAGGGAGATGAAGGTCCTAACAAATGCTTGCTTACTAGTTATCCTGAAGAAAGAATGAAGAGCTGGGGTTATAGCTCAGCTGCAGAGTACTCGCACAGCACCTAGCTTGCACAGGGCCCCAGGTTCGAGCCCGAGCACTACATGAACTGGCCACGGGGATGTAACTCTCTAATACTAATGCTTGGGAGGTGGAGGCAGGAAAATCATCAGAAGCTCAGTGTCAACCTCAGCTACATATTGAGTTCTACACCAGCCTGGGTTACATGAGATTCTGACTAGAAACTAACTAATTAAATAAAAAAGAAAGAAATCATTCATCACTAAAGATTTTCTTAAAACAAATTCATTAATGGGTACTTGTTTTGAATCAATTAATCAGTTAATGTTCTGTATTAAAACCATATCCTCAGTCCAGCAGTGATGGTGCATGCCTTTAATCCCAGCACTCGGGGGGTAGAGGCAGGCAGATCTCTGTGAGTTTGAGCCCAGCCTGGTCTACAAGAGTTAGGACAGGCACCAAGGCTACAGAGAAACCCTGTCTTGAAAAAAAAATCTTCAGCTAGACATGGTGAAACACACCCTTAATTCCAGGCTTCAAGAAACAGAGGCAGGCAGAGCTCTGAGTTTGAAGCTAGCCTGATCTATCAAGTTCCAGGATATCTGGGGCTACACAGAGAAGTCCTGTCTCAAAGAACATAAAGCAAACATATCTTCCATAATGCAAGCATACCTTATAGTTTCAGAAGATACATCTGAAACTGCATATAAATACACTGTATATATGAAATGAATGTATAGTCTCCTTTCTTCTTTTTTCTAAAGGGGAGGTATTTTGGTGCTGGGAACTAAAATGAACCCAGGTCCTCATATATGCAAAATTTCTTAGTAGTTATACTTAGTTATCTTGACTATGAGCACATTAGCAAATTTTGGCAGAACTATTTCAGAACCTACAAAAGTTGTTGCTGTCTACCTTTCATCCTCTATTGTTGTTTTGGAGAACTGGAGGCTAGGGGCTAGAGAGACGGCTGCTCTTCCAGAGGACCTGGATTCAATTCCCAGAAGACACAAGGCAGATCACAACTATCTGTAACTCTAGTCCCAGGAGACAATCTCTTCGGGCTCTTTGGGAAGGAGGTATGCACTTTGGACAGTCTGATTTCTGTGAACTAGACTTAGCCAACTCAACACAGTATGCAGAGATGTTTTTACATTAAAATTAATTTTCTTATTTATATGAACTTCTTTCAACCATTTACTTCCTGCCTCTGGTGTCATGATAATAATGTTGAGTCAGTTAACACTACCAAAATCAAACATACAAGTAGGCTTGATATATATAAGCTTATCCACTTCAAAATTAGACATGATTCTGGGAAAGAAACATAACAAAGCTTAATGAATTCATTAATCAACATTGTAGCCAGTAAGAATTCATATTGACTTGTAGAAATGTGGACTTCTTATGAAAATGACAGTAGTTGGAACCATGCTATAAATAATTTCAAAAAACAATGCTCAAAGATCTATTAATGATTACAGTTTGTAAATATACAAAAATTCATTTGCAAGCAGTTATAACCAAATGGAAAGCTGAAGGTAAATAAATAAAACTATTAGCAAATATTATCTCCCATAGCAGGCAACCTCTGACCCCATTAGTGGTTATGATGCTAGAGAACATAAAGACAGCTGTCCAGATTGCTCACAAAATACTTGTAAAAAATAAAAAAGGAGTTCTTCATATGCACACAGGTGCAAATAAATAATAACTATAGATTATTAATATCTAGCATGATATATACTAGTAATCAATGGACATTACATACTTGAGGAGAAATATGACAGTAGAGAAAATATTTATGGTCACAGCAAGAAACTAATTCTCAAGAAATTTAGAAAGGAGTGAAATCCATGTAAACTAAAACTGTGATGATCATAATGGACTTCATTTGAGGATTCCTCAGAAGTCAGCACAGACCTATCACACAGGATCTTAGTAAAATTACTATCAGTAGTGAAGACATAAAATTAGTGTGCTAATTTTTGAAATTTTTGAAAACAATATCAAATGATATACCTATAATTTTATAAAGATAGCTACATTTTTAACCTTTAAAATGTCTTTACTGAAAATCACCAAGGAACCCTTTACAACTAATTTTCCTAAATATTTTTATCATAATTCAAAATAAACATAACATTTCTTCTACTCCATTAGTAGGTGTAAAAGATCAACCATCAAAGCTCCGAAATTTTTTCTTAATAGTGACAACATGCTACCGGGGAAAGAAAAGAATCGAGAAACTTGAATCTTATTTCATACCAACTTACTCTGACTTTGGGTAAGACTCTCCGAAGGGTCTCAGTAGGATTCTGTCGCATCAAAATTGGAAGATTTGCAATCACACTTGTTCCTTGGATATCTTGACCAGCACTTACAGGGAAAATGCAAATTTTTAAATTTAAAATTAGGAGCTGAATTTTTAATTTAATGGGTTAATTTAAAAAAAATAACCAGTTTAATGACTTCCTACAATGTTTCAACCACATCATTGAAATACAAAAGTAAAACCAGATATAAAATCTTATTTTTTTATATAAATAAATCTTATAACAAACACATATAGACATTACAGATATGCTAAAATACTATTTTCTGTTAATATACATGTCATAAAGTGTTAACCATTTTACTAATACTTTACAAATCTACCACATTTTTCTCTGTGATGTGAAAGTTTGCTGTACTTTATAAAAATATATAATGATAGAATATAGTAAAATAATAATTATAGCAATAACTAAAATCTACACAAAAACACAATGCTGAGTACACTGAAATGACTTATATAGTTTGGCTTCATGAAATGCAAGAAACTTCTGAAAGATACATTCAAAGCTCTTACAGGCCGCTAGAACATTTTATATAATGCCTTTTGGTCTAACATGCATTAAGGCTTTGTTCCTAAAATAATATCTGTGGTATTCTAGAGGCCTAAATACTTTGGGAAATATTCAAATCCTTCTGGAAAGAACACTTCCATGAACTACAAATACTTTAAAACACAGCCTGAGTGATACAAGTTTTGCAAGCATGTCAAATACTGAAGGAAATGCCACCTATTCTGAACAGATACCAAACACATTAAATGTTTATGGCATAAATTGTATTTATTTACATACTTCCAATAAATTAAAATTATTTTTTACTTCTCTTCAAATAGAACTATGGTCATTTGAAGATGAGTGGCCCCACAAGCTCATGTATTTGAATAACTTGGTCCCTAGTTGGTAGAACTGTTTGGGAAAGATTAGGTGGTGTGGTCTTGTTGAAGAAGGTGTGACACTTGAGATGGGCTTTCAGGTTTTCAAAGAGCCATTCTTAGTCTCCCTCTCTCTGTTTTAAGATTGTGTCTCAACATGTAAGCTCTCAGCTACTGCTCTAGCACCATGACTGCCTGCTGCCATGCTCCCTGCCATGATGGTCATGGATGCTAATCCTCTGAAACTGTAAGCCCTAGTAAACTCTTTTATAGTGTTTTATTGTAGCAACAGAAAAGTAACTATGACAAGAATTATTCATGGTTTTACAAAATGTATGTGAACTTTAAAGTTTTCAAATAGTTTTTTAAGTAATATGTTTGCTTCTTCAGTATTATTCAGGTTTTTTTTTCAGTCATAAAGAACATGTTCTAGTTGTGAATGAAGTTGTCCTGCCATGATCAAATCTTGACCTGCTGCACAACAGCAGACTATGGAATACAGGGTTTCACAATCATTTCACTTTCTTACCTTTATAAGTAGACCTTCTAAAGAAAAAAAATGAAGAGAAAAGAGAACAGCATGCAATAAGGGACTATGCTAATCTAGGAAGACTGTCAGAGGTGGAAACTAAAATTGTCCAAAAAATTACTTGTCATACAATGAAAGGTAACCCCTAAAATATGTCTACACCCTAATACTGGAAGGCTGGAGTGAATTCTTAATTTTTAGAAGAATCCTGAGATGAAGAGATCATCCTATATTATCTAGGTCTAGTAACATGCGTAGATAAAGGAGTTATTCAGAGTAAAACACAGGACAGGAGAAGGCAATTTGACCACAAAAATGGAGATGGGACCGATGTAGCCACAAGATGGTATGCTGACGCAGGAAGCTAAGAGTGCCAAAACTGGGTACCACTGATTTCTTGACTTGGGGCTTCTGATCTACAGAACTATGAAAACAATATTTCTTGTTGTCTCAGGTTACACATAGAAAAATACACTACTGTTGTGATATATATGTGAGTAAAGGCTCATGTGTTTGAACACTTGGACCTCAAAAGGCAAACATCACATGTTCAAGATTACAAAAGGTAGTAAAAAAAAAAAAGACTCTAAAATAGGAAGCTATTCTGAACCATACCTTCAGGTTTTAAAGATTAAAATCCAATTCTATGTGTGTGTGTTTAATGAAAAAGTAAGGCAAAGACTAATGGTTCTTATCACAAGAGAGAGAGACCACAAAACATATAACCTACTATTTGTCTACAAAAGAAAATTAAGAAAATACATAAGACACAAGACCATCTCAGTCATCATTAATTATGAAAATGTAGAATTAAGGTGATAGAACTCAGCAGAAAGTTGGAAAATGACTCAACTAGAAAAGATAGTGAATGAAACAATTACTGTTGAGGAGAAACGGGGAAATTTTAAATATAAAAATAAAAGATTTGAAAATTAAAAAATGAGAGAATATAATACAGAAAATGAACAAAAATACAACATGATGATAGGAGGAATCCTAAGAAAAAACTAAGCAAAGCATTTTATTTATGTTAAAAATATTTTAAAAACTGGCCATGATGATTTGAATAAAAATACTCCCCCATAGGCTCATATATTTGAAGACTTAGTCACCAGTGAGTAGTATTATTTGGAAAGATTAAAAGGTGTGGACTTGTTAGAGGAAGTTTGTCAATAGCAGTGGGCTTTGAGGTTTCAAAAGCCCATGCCAAGTTCAGTGTCTTTCTGTTGACCTATGGATCAGGATGCAGTTCTCAGCTACTTCTTCAGCACCATACCTTTCTGCAGTCATGCTCTCTGTCATAATGATAATGGACTAAGCCTCGGAAACAGTAAGCAAGCTCTGAATTAAATGTTTTATAAGAGTTGCCTGGTCATGCATGATGTCTCTTCACTGCAATAGAACACTAAGACATGGGCACTGGACACAGATAAGACTGGCCCCACCAACAGAGAGCTTGTGAGATGGGGCTCGAGAGACCCCACAACTTACTGATGAACTACTGGCAAGTAACATATTGGGAGGAGGAGGCACATTGTTAAGTTGTGCACCCACTTTTGAGCCTTGGAGAGTCCGGAGACCAGTTCAATTCTGTTGTCATAAAGACCTAACAAGTTAAACTCAGTAGGGACACAAACAAAACAAACAAGGACTTAAATAGTCCAAGGGAATCAGCTGAAACTTAAAGAGAATTGACTTCGATTGAAGAGAAGTTACAGAAGGCACATGTGGATCATGTGAATCAGAATCTTAACTGCATTCTTGTCCTATTACCCTCCAAATATTTTCCTACAGAAATTTTAATGCAAAGGGAAGATATTATCTTAGAATGGATCTTTTTACCACATAAACCAAGTAAAAAATTAAAAACTTATATGGAAAAGGTCTCTGAGTTAATTCTAAAAAGAAAATTGATACTTTGTCAATTAGCAGCAATAGTCCCTGCAGAAATTACAGTAACTTTTACTAATGATGAAATTAACAAACTATGGGAAGTAAGTGGACCCTGACAAAGAGCTTGTAGTACAACTATCCCAAAAGCGAGAGAATATGACTTATGAAGAGAACTAATTGGATCCTTCCTCACATTGTACAGGACACATCAATAACTGGAGCCCCTACATTCTATACTGATGTAAATAAATCAGGAAAGGTAGGTTACAAACTAGAAAATTTAAATAAAGTGGAACAAAGTCCTTATGATTCTTTCCAAAAATCAGAATTATATGCTATTCTCATGGTACTAAGGGATTTTAAAGAGCCTCTCAATATATGTACCAATTCACAATATGCAGAAAGAGTTGTTTGGCATATTGAAATCAACTTCTATATTTATATTCAGGTACAAGATATATATATATATATATATATATATATATATATATATATATATAT